CCAATCCTCAATGGGGAGCAGGGGATCAATCTTTAATGCGGAACTTCCCCTTTTGGGTGGAGATCCGCTTTAACTGTTTGATTTTGATCGGACAATGTGTGGTTGACACATTTCTACTGTTGTCTCTAGGCTCCTTTTGCAGCATGTGACAGAATAATGTACTGTAATGATGTCTGGCATGTAACAGTGGTCACTCATTACTGTTATAGCAAACTGAAATAAAGGAAGAGGGATGTGTCATTGAGAGATCATATATTTACTTCTGGATTTGGATGTTGCCGATTACATAGATGCACGGAATTGTAAGTAGAAACAGAATCAAGTTTGTTAAGGTTAGTTTACAAACTTGAAGATATTTACGGGTGCTTCTGTCCCTATCTAAATAAATTTGAGGGCCCATCTCTGTTTTTATTAATAGTGTTTCACATATGTAATGCTTTCCTGCTTTGTTTTATATTTTTAAAATTCTCCTTTTTCATCATTAACCCTGGTTTCCTGCCTTGTCCAAAATACAGGTTGTACTGATGCTGGTAGCTGACTGGGAAAAAAAAAAAATGCAAAAGAAATGAAACACTGCCAGTGCTCAAATCTGAATAGCCTGTATATATAACATATGAGGTGGTAGAAGAATGTGGCCACATGTTCAAGTTTCTTAATTATTCTTTATTAACCCTCTTTACACTACCACACATCTTTATATATGCAAACCTTTGCATAAAAGCAGGGATTTTTGGTTTGCATATACATCATTGTAATATGTGTTTAACCACTTCCGTGCCACCCTATAGAAAACACTGCGGCCGGTGATTCCCCACCGGCACCCGGCGATCCTCAAGGATTTCCGACGGGGCAGAGACCTGTATGTAAACAATACAGATCTCCCCCTGTCAGCTGCTGCACACTGTTTTTTATGGCTCTGCATAGCAGAGAAACACACACACAGCCCACATAATAAAACAGCACACAGTTAACCCTTTGATCGCCCCACATGTTAACCCCTTCCTGCCCAGAGCCATTAGTTCAGTGTCAGTGCTTTTTATTAGCACTGGTCACTGTATTGGGGTCACTGTCAGTCAGTGACACCAAGTCAGTTCCCCCCAATGTCAGATGCCCACCGCAGTCCCTCTATAAGTGGCTGATTGCCGCCATTACTAGTAAAAAAAAAAAATTCTAGTATATATACCACCATTTGTAAACGCTATAACTTTCACGTAAACCAATTAATTTACACGTATTGGGATTTTTTTTTTTTTTAGCAAAGTCGTAGCAGGATGCATTTTGGCCTAAATTTATGATGAATTTAGATTTTTTTGATTTTTTTTTGCTGGACATGTTCAATAGCAAAAAGTAAAAATATAGTTCTTTTTTCAAAATTGTCTTTTTTAGCACAAAAAATAAAAACGCACAGGCAATCAAATACCACCGAAGGAATGCTGTATTAAATTTCATTTGGGTGCAGCGTTGCATGACCATGCAATTGTCAGTTAAAGTAATGCAGCACTGTATCACATAAACTGGCCTGGTCAGGAAAGGGGGTAAATCCTCTGGAGGGAAAGTGGTTAAAGCAGAACTTCATCCGAAGAGTGACAGGACAGGTACCTGAACAGGTAAGTGTCCCTATATTAAGAGTCAGCAGCTACAGTATTTGTAGCTGCTGACTTTTATTTTTTGGGGAGGAACATGGAGCTCTGCTTTAAGCAAACCAATTGTGTCAAATTGATATCTTTCTGGCTAACTGTGACTATTTATGATGAATAAATGATTTTAAAAATGTTTCTATACCACAGCTAAGCATGATAGTCATGTATGTTTTCTAACAGGTATTATCCCCACATAATAGCTTACCTTGTAAGCACAATGCTCTAGTTCAGTAATCAAGAATAAGCAAACCTAGCCAGGTTTGGTTTGAGCTGGGTTCGCCAAGCCCAGCAGCATGTGTGAACCCTGAACTTAGCACTGATCCCATTGAAATCTATGGTAGGCAAAACTAGCTAATTTTTCTGGTTTTTTTTTAAGGCTTTTAACCACTTGCCCTCCGGAAGATTTACCCCCCTTAATGACCAGGCCATTTTTTGCTATTCAGCACTGCACTATTTCAACTGATAATTGTGCGGTCATGCAATGCTGTACCCAAACAAAATGTATGTCCTTTTTTCACATAAATAGAGCTTTCTTTTGATGGTATTTGATCACCAATGGGTTTTTAATTTTTTTGTGATATAAACAAAAAAAAGACTGAAAATTTTGAAAAAAAAATATTTTTTACTTTCAGTTATAAAAAGTATATAGTAAACTCAAGGTTAGTCATAAATTTAGGCCAAAATGTATTCTGATACATGTCTTTGGTAAAAACAAAAATGTCAATACATGTATATTAATTGATTTGTGTGAAAGTTATAGTGTCTACAATATTGGAATTTATGCAGCTTTTACTTTCTGACTTCCACATTTCTTGAGGTGCTAAAATGCCAGGGCAGTACAAAATCCCCCAAAATTAACCTTTTTAGGAAAGTAGACACCTCAAGGAATGTTGAATCCATGGAACATTTTATTTTTTGCCAAAAATCTTTGGAAAATGACAAAAAAATGTTTTTTTTTTTTACACAAAGTTGTCAGTTAAATGATATATTGTTCACACATGCCATGGGTATATGTGGAATAACACCCCAAAACACATTCTTCTACTTCTCCCGAGTATGGGGATACCACATGTGAGAGACTTTGTGGCAGCCTAGCCACATGCGCGCCCCCAAAATCCAATGACAAGGCTTTCAAAGGGCATATTTCCTTATATCACTTCCTCACTACCTATCACAGTTTCGGAGGCCCTAAAATGCCAGGATAGTATACCCCCCAAAATGACCCTTTTTTGGAACATAGACACCCCAAGGAATTTGATAAGAGGCATGGTGAGTATTTTGCAGATATAATTTTTGTTGCTGGGTTTTGAAAAAGAATAAAAGAAAATATAAGTTTTTGTTTTCTTTCTTCATTTTCCAAAAAGTTGTGGCAACAAATGAGATCTGCAAAATACTCTCCATGCCTCTTAAAAAATTCCTTGGGGTGTCTATGTTCCAAAAAGGGGTAATTTGGGGGGTGGGAGTGCTTCTACTATCCTTGCCTTTCAGAGCCAACATTAGAAGCTTATGCCACACATCACACACTTTTCTAACCACTTGAAGGACCAAGCCTTTTCTGACACTTTTTTTTTACTTGAAAATTACTTTTAACCCAGAAACATTATAAACATTATATATTTTTTTAAAGCAGAGGCCCTAAAGAATAAAATGGTGGGTGTTGAAATGTTTTATGTCACAGTGTTTGCTCAGCAATTTTTCAAACACAAATCTTTTGGAAAAAATACATGTTTTAGACTTTTAATGCACAAAAACACAATATATTGCCCAATTGTTTGATAACATATAAAAGATGATGTTACACCAAATGCATATCAGATGTGACATGCTTTAAAGTTGTGCACGCCCGTGCAATGACAACAAATTACGTAAATTTGTAAAATCCCTATGCAACGCTTTAGAAGACTTTACAGACCACCGCTTATATTTAAACAGGAGGTCTAGTGCTAGAATTACTGCCCTTGATCTGACATTTGTGATGACATGCATGGTGCAATCTCTGTTTACATACCGCCATGGGACTGCCGCATGTGTTTGCCTTTGCTCGTAAGCATGGGAATGGGGGTGAAATTTTTTTTAATTATTTATTTTGCTTTTTTTCTTTATTTTTACACTGTACCTTTCATTTTTTTCTGATCACTTTTATTGTTATCTCAGGGAATGAAAATATCCCCTGTAATAGCAATAAGCAGTGACAGGTATTCTTTTCTGAGAAATCTGTGGTCTATTAGACTCTAGATCTCTCCTCTGCCTTTAAAGCATCTGATCAAATCAAGATTGGTGTGATCAGATGCTTCCCTAATTATAAAGTGGAGCTGTTTATATCTTACAAAATGGATATGAAGAAATGTTCATAGCTTCCGGTCTTAGACGATAGAGATGATTGGAGGAATTCCAGTCTCTAATCAGCTCTATTGTCAGCTAGCGGAACTGCTGGCTACATTTTTAAGTTCCCTGGATGGGTGGGAGAGCCCAAGAAAACCTTGGAAGGCAGCAAGAGGGGTGGGGGAGTCCCTTCCCACTGCTTGTAAAAGCAATCCAGCAGCTAATTAGTGGCTAGGAATTTTTTTTCATGAAATCCAACCGCCAGCTGAAAAAAACTATACCAGGATGATGCCTGTAGCTGCAGGCATCATCCCGGTATAACCACTCAAAGTCAAGTGATGTACCAGTACGTTGCTGGTCCATGTTGGGCATATATGTAACAGCAGAGAACATGGGCATATGAGGAATCGGGTCTGTGGACCAATATGACCACAAGTCATTCTTTTTTGTAATGCCCATGTTGAGGGTTAGACCCAAAAAAGTTTTAGATTCAGAAACTGTGATAGGTTTCCATGTGAATTGTGTGACAAGAGCTGAATTGGGTGGGCAGTGATGTAGTTGTACGTATAAATAGCTTTGGCCCAAAAGCCATTGATACAAATCATCAGTGAAAAACAGTGGAGGGGTTAAATGCTAGTGCTGACATGTATGGGGCTCATCCTGCTAACACTGCATTTTTGGGGACACTATACAAAGGAGGCACTAGTATAGTTCTGTTTGTGATTGACATATTGATCTGTACAAACACTATACAATTAATGGCAGTGATCAGCGACTATAGCGTGAGATGCGATAGTGTGCAGCAATCTAACACTAGCTGACCCTGGCTGGGAGGGGTGCTAACTTACCCTGATGCTATCTGATGTCATTAGTGGCAGTAATACAGTGATCAGTGAAAAATTCTATATACTGACACTGTACTATCGGCACTGGCTGGGTGACGGGGTGATCAAAGGGTTAATAGTGGCGATCAAAGAATTCAATGTGCTGATATAACGTGTGTGTAAAATGTAGTGCTTTTACCAAGGGTGGACTGACCATTTGGCACTGTCCGAGGGCCCGGGGTCAGTAGGCGGCCCCATGAGATGCCCCTGGTACCTTTTTCATAGGCTTTTTTGAGTTTGTGCAAGGACACAGGGGCCCCATGATCCCCTATTGCCCGGGGGCACCATGAGTTGTCAGCCCGCCCCTGGCTTTTACTCAGTGCTGTGTTCATTCTTCTCTCCCTGGACAGCATAGGGGGCAGCAGGGGGTGCACACACACCTGGAAATAGAAAGCGATGTAAAATTACGTTGCTTTGCCCACACATTGGTGGCGTGTGGGCGGGCAGAAACTAGTTAAAAAATATTCAAAAAACCTGCTCTTGATTTTTTTAAAATATTTTTTTATTTTTTTAACATTATTTTTTCTGTTTTACATTTTTTTTAAGCATACTTTCATCAGAGTTCTGCAATGTTACCATAGTAACATTGTACTACTCTGGGGGTGAAGGTCATTGCTCTGCAATGCAAAGCTTGCTTTGAACTGTCATCAATGTGTTAAGTTTATGACAGTTCAATATAATAGTGATCTGGGATTGGCTCCAGTTGGTCACATTATAAAGGGTGCTGTGATTGGTCCCATGTGTCATTTGAGAGCTGTGGACTAATCACAACTCTCCAGAAACAGAAGCAAAGCTTTTATGAATCAGGTTGATTCATAAAAGTTTTGTTGTCACTGTGATCATGTGATTGAACAGCGATCACATGATCACCAGGTCCCGATTACTTGGATTTTCTGTGCCCACCAGACACAGCAGATGTGAGGGAGGTAGGGTTGTGTGTCCATGGTGCCCCCCTGTGTTGGCAAAACACCAGCGACATATGGGTACACTGGTCCTTTAGCTGCTGCCAATTTAAGTATCTTTGCCTCGCTCACAGGCTAGTTGTACTTCTGACTGCCAATTTGTAGTTATGGACCTTCAAGCTGCGTTCACACATATGCAGTGCGATATATCGCATGTGATTCGCATAGGAAACGTACCGCATTCCTGTGCAAATCACATGCAATTTGTGTGCGGTGTGACTGGAGCCATAGATTTTGTATGGCTCAAATCCCACTGCACCTGCACTAAAAAGGTGCACAACCCTTTTTTGGTCTTTGCTAGAATCGGATTTCATGGGTATTCACACCTTTGCTGACCGATTTTGGGGTGTTGTTTATTTAAAATACACACCCGCAGCGGTTCACATGAATGGAGTGCGATTCTGATGTGGTGCGGAATCCACACAGAAAACTCTGCGAATTCCGCACCGCATCAGTGTGAACCCAGCGTAAAACTGAGGCCAACAGTTAACTAAGCAGGATTCTTTTTTACCTCCCTTCCCCAGGTAGCAAGCCTGAGAAGCATGAACTGGAACTTTCTGGAGCTATATCCTTTCCAGGCAACAGGCCTGAGAGGCCAAGACAAGGCTCATAACATATCCCAGACAGACCCCCCCCACACACACACACACACACACACACACACACACACACACACGCTGGCTCAGCCACTATGGCTCAAGCCAAAATTACTCACGTCTTAAAGTGGAGTTCCACCCACAGTACAAGCTCCACTTGTTTGCCTCCTCCAACCCTCCACTGCCATATTTGGTACCTTTTGGGGGGGAGTAGGTATCTGGTTTTGACAGGTACCAGCTCCCACTTCCGGCTGAGTTCGCTGCGGCGAAGTGAGCCGGAAGTTCGGCTCCCTCCTTCCTCCTGCAGTCTCCTGGGAACCTTCACAGGTCCTGGAATACTGCAGGGCCAATCAGGATGTGCAGTGCAACTTGTGAATGCGCAGTGGGCACCCAGCTGAGAATCGGCAAGCTGTCACAGCCTGGTGCCCACAGTTGAGATGCCGGCGCCGTGGAGAGAAGAAGAAGAGCAGATTGCTAGACAGGCGAGTGTGTGTTTATTAAAAGTCAGCAGCTACAGTTTTTGTAGCTGCTGACTTTTAATAAACACAAAAACTCCGCTTTAAAATATCCATCATATAAACTCTCATAAAAACATAACTTGTAATCATATAATAAATAAAACCCCAACCACTATGGTTCAGGTTTCACAAAAAAAAAACTGTCCCCCTTTAGTCCTTAACCACTTGCCGCCCTGCCACTGCATATATACGTGTGCAGGGCGACACTGGGGTGCAAAAGCACGTTTTAAAACGGGCTCCACGCTCCCGACATTTTTGCGGGCAGGGGGCGCACGTGCGCGCTTCCGCCGACCGGCGGGTGACACCATTTGATCCCGGAGGGATCAATCATTCGATTTCAGCCAGTGATGTCTGGCTGAAATCAGATGATCGGTCCCTGTCCTATCCTGTCCTGTGTTGACAGTTACACAGGACAGGATATGATGTCATTCTTCTATGCCTGGACACATTCCATTGCAGACAGAGAAGAAGACATACAAATTGGGAGTAAAACAGCACATACCCACAGTTAGAATACTCTAGGACACATTTAATCCCCTGATCGCCCCCCCCCACCCCAGTTAGCCCCTTCACTGCCCTGTCACCAGTGTCACTGATCAGTGAACCGATTTTTACTGATCACTGTATCAGTGTCACTGGCGACTTCCGATAGTGTTAGCGCCCCTCCCAGATAGCGCCAGTTTGCCCACCAGTACACCAGTAATCTCGTTTAACCCCTTAATCCCCCCCCCACCCACTTAACCCCTTCACTGCCCTGTCACCAGTGTCACTGATCAGTGAACCGATTTTTACTGATCACTGTATCAGTGTCGCTGGCGACTTCCAATAGTGTTAGTGCCCCTCCCAGATAGCACCAGTTTGCCGGCCAGTACACCAGAAATCCCATTTAACCCCTCGATCACCCCCCCCCAGTTAACCCCTTCACTGCCCTGTCACCAGTGTCAGTGATTACAGTGAACAGATTTTTACTGATCACTGTATTAGTGTCACTGGTGACTTCCGATAGTGTTAGCGTCCCTCCCAGATAGCGCCAGTTTGCCCGCTAATTCACGTGATTTTTTTTTACAAAAACATGTAGCAGAATACATTTTGGCTTAAATTTATGACCAACTTTGAGTTTACAACATATTTTTTATAGCTGAAAGTAGAAAATATTGTTTTTTTTTTCAAAATTTTCGTGTTTTTTTTGTTTATAGCGCAAAAAAAAATAAAAAGTGCACAGGTGATCAATTACCACCAAAAGAAAGCTCTATTTGTGTGAAAAAAAGGACCTAAATTTCGTTTGGGTACAGCATTGCATGACCGCGCAATTATCATATGAATTAGTGCAGCGCTGTATAGCAAAAAAAAGGCATAAATTACAGTATCTATACCATAGTTTGTAGACGCTATAACTTTCACACAAAGCAATCAATATACACTTATTGGGATTTTTTTTACCAAAAACATGTAGCAGAATACATTTTGGCCTAAATTTATAACTAACTTTGAGTTTACGATATATTTTTTATAGCTGAAAGTAGAAAATATTGGTTTTTTTTTTCAAAATTTTCATGATTTTTTGTTTATAGCGCAAAAAATAAAAAGCAGACAGGTGATAAAATACCACCAAAAGAAAGCTCTATTTGTGTGAAAAAAGGACGTAAATTTCGTTTGGGTACAGCATTGCATGACCGTGCAATTATCATTTGAATTAGTGCATTGCCAAACAGCAAAAAAAGTCCTGGTCATTAAGGGGGGTAAATCCTCAGGAGTTAAAGTGGTTAAAGGTGACACTACCACATAATAAATGGCCACGACATAAGGGGAGGGTGGGAGGGAGCACCACAGACTATGGCTTCTGAGGCGACTGATCTGAGGGCAAACGGACCCCTTTTATATAGCCCTATGCCCTATCTTCCAGAAGATTCCAAGGTGAAAAGTTCACCTGACCTCTAAGAGGTCAGGCAACCTACCAGCAGGCTTCCCGCTCACCCCACAGAGAGGGGGAGACTCGAAACCACACTGCCGCATTCCCATGAGGGAAGGGGGGCCTGGAAACCTCCCCCCCCCTTTTTACATACAGCATATTTAACTGCTGCAAGGCATTGGTACAACATCCCACCCGTTTACTGTTCATTATATCCAGGACTGTGGATAAGGGGGTACCACCAGTCCTCCTGCATGGGGCCCAGGCCAGCAGGGGGCCCAAGCAGCTGGGTGAATTGGATGTGAGCAGGGAAGGTGATCTGCACGGCAGAGAGAAAATGACTGAAACTGATCCCCTGTATGGCTCTCTCCTTCCAGCAGCTATCTTCTTCTCCTCTCCCTCCCACTGGTTTACATCTGCTGCAGAGAGAGCCATACAGGGGATCGGTTCCAGTAACTGACCCCCCTGGTGCACCCATCACCCTCTCTGTGCACCACAAGTGTCCCGCTGCTGTCCAGACCCCTTTGTGTGTCCCCACCCCCGCAGCGGTGTCAGCTTCCCTCCTTTCCTTCCCATCGGCAGCTGCCAACACATAATAGGATCCTTCAGGATGGAGAGTGGCGAAGGATCTGGTAAATATGTCACATTTACCAGCTCATTCATTTCCTGAATGAACACAATGAGTAATCAGTACCACTCACTCACTCTGTTCATATCTGAAGCATAGTAAACTATGTTTTTTTTTTTGGTGGGGGGGCTATCAGGTTGGTTTTATGGGGCCCTGAGGTTTCTAAAGGCAGTCCTGATTATGTCCAACATTCAGTATAACCGAATCCCACTAAAATACAATAGACCAGCACAGGGGTGGACTGACCATTTTGAAAACCGGGCACTGCCCGAGGGCCCGGGGTCAGTAGGGGGCCCCATGAGATGCCCCTTGTACCTTTTTCATAGGCTTTTTTGGGGTTTGGGCAAGGACACAGGGGCCCCATGATCCCCTATTGCACGGGGGACCCATGAGTTGTCAGTCCGCCCCTAGGCCAGCAAGAAAAGTTGAGAGCAAACTGAGATACTTTGTATGCTCCTTTGCTTTGCTTACCATCTGAAAATTCTCTGCTCAAGTAAAATCATATCATACAGGTGGTATTTTATTTCCTATCCCCTTTTTCTCATTTCTCTCTCAGCAAAGCAATCAGAGATTAAATTTTATATCCTACACAATATATTTTATTATGCAGAGCTGCCATCTCAGACATATGCTGTGTGTGTATTTATTTAGTTTGTTAGAGAGACATATGAAATCAATCACAGCCAGGTTAGGAAAGCATGCAGTTTTTATACTGGTTATATGCTGTTAGGGAGTAATTGG